ATAAATATTTACTTTTTCAACTTTCAATCCATTCTTTATTGCCTGCTGTAAGTTCTGATAGTGTACAATATAATTTTTCTTGTCCTCAAATGTTGCCATCAGTTTCCTAACCTTCGAATCATGTGGAATACTATTTTGCGTGAGGTAAGGTAAGTCGTTATGTTCATTATGTAGGTGCTGTGGGTACGTCACGTCGACCTCGTAAATCCTCCCTATGGGGGAGATGTCGTCCAAATTGCCTAATCATTTCAATGTGGGTTTAACCCAGTTGAATCCACCGTACGGCATGTACTGCGACATTGCCCACCCGTACAAATTTTTACCTATAAAATTAAAATTAATAAGTTTAAAAAAAAAAAAAAAAACGTACAGTCCTGATATATAATCCATGATTTATCTTTTGACACATCATAACCTGGAGTCATCACATTATTTGCCTTTGCATAACGCTTACTCGCTTGTACTAGTCCTCCACGTATACCTATAAAAAAAAGTATATATATATATATAATTATTATTATTATATGTACATTTTAAAAATAATATACTGACCATTCTCAAACATTAACAACATGTCATAATCGTCCAGCAACTGTATCTTTTGCCCCGTGAATTTCAACATCGCGTCAAAACTTAAGCCGGTGGCAGTGAAATAATGAGCGGCGTCCAGATTGTAAGTCTTCATGCAAAGGTCTCGAAAGTTTTCGAAAACGTCCGCCAACAACAGCACGTTGATTTTTAAATATAAATCTGAATACTCGCCCAGCGTCTTACATCCGAAGTGGTCCCAGACCTCCTTCGCATGGTCAAAGTCACTCTCCTCTATCTCGGTCTTCGTCAACGTACTATAAAAGCTCCTCTCGCTAGGCAGTCTCGTCTCCTCCAACCGTTCCCAACTATTCATGTACTCATAAGGGTACACCCCCTTCCGAGTCACTAGCGACATATCGACTTCATCAAAAACCTTAGCGGTCTCTCTGAAGTTCTCCAGATCCGGTGTCACAAGATTTTTGGCTAGAGTTGACAGTCCTGATGCCATAAACCGAAAAGTGTCAATAAATCGCATATTGAATGAATTTGACACGTACTTGGTGAATGAGATAAATTTTTCCTCGCTGTTAGGTATTAGTCTAATAGCTTGGGTGTCATGGCCAAGTTCCGTTACTATCAAGTGCGCGTCATAGTTGGAAAGGTTGTGGAAAAATATAGGTATAAAGTTCGGTGTTTGGAGCTTAAGATTACATACATTACATAGAGACTGTCTAAATTTTCCCGATAAATGACAGTGATCTGCCACCTTATGATTATCGTGCGAAAAGTTCATCTTACATAAATTGCATCGCGTTGCGGCTTCATGTAACTGTCGTTGTTCATTCATAAAAATTAAATATCTCGCCACGTCCATGAAATCTTTACTGCCTCGGTATATTACCGGTTTTGACGGTATCCCGTGCTCCATCAATAACTCCTCCGGCACGTCCTCGCTCGC